GTCGTTTAATTAATTGGATTTGTCACTGGCCTGTGAAATGCGGCTGCTTCTGGGGTCGAATGTGACACTTGTTTAATATAATACAATAATATTATAAAACGGTCTTTTTTTAAGGGCTGGTCTACACTGGGGGGGGGGAGAATCGATCCAAGATACGCAACTTCAGTTACGCTATCCGCGTAGCTGAAGTTGAAGTATCTTGGATCGAATTACCTGGGGTCCACACAGCGCGGGATCGACGGCCGCGGCTCCCCTGTCAACTGCGCTACTGCCGCTCGCTCTGGTGGAATTCCGGAGTCATTCAGGGATCGATATATCGCGTCTTAATGAGACGCGATATATCGATCCCGGATAAATCGATTGCTACCCGCCGATACGGCGGGTAGTGAAGACGTACCGTAAGACACAGTGAAGAATAAGTTATGCAGTTGAAACTATTCTAGTGGTAAGATATTCACGATTGGTGAGGACAGGGCAGACAATTTGCCCATACTTCCATAAGGGAAGGAAACTTTTTCTAGAATCCCCTTCAGACCAGGGCAGATCTGATTGCTTCTCCCTGTATCCCCTGCAGGTTTTCCCATGGGCAAGTGGTATCTGTGGACGAGCTTCATCCATTTCAGGAGCCCAATCTCGGCTCTCTAGAAGTGGGTTCAGCCTGCTTGGCGAAACACCATGATGGAATATGGTATGCTGCAAAAATCACGGGTGAGTCTTGTTTTCTCTGGGTGGGTGTTGAAAGGTGAACAGAAGTACTTCAGTCTTCATTTTAACTAAACTCCTAAGACATAAACCAAGCAAAGGATGGTCTTGTAGGCTAAAGCACAGGACTGGGGGTCTGAGACAACTGAGTTCTCTGCCACAGACTTTGGGTGTGGCTTATGAGGGACCTCAGATGTTGTGATGCTTAATTCATTAAGGTTTGTAAAGTGCTTTGAGATCCTCAAAGGCAGATGATCTTTATGAAAGGGAAACCAGAGAAGGATTTAGGGATGGGAGGGCAGAGAAGTGGTGGCAGGGGTCTAGAGGGAAAGTTGGGGAGACCTGGGAGAAGAGAATAGTAGCAGAATAGAGGACATAGAAATGAAAAAGAGAGAATGAAAGAATCAATACAAACAACTAGACGTTCAGTAAATTGTCCTTTATTTCATTACCCCCTGTTCAGCTTTGTCCGAATATCATTCCTGATATCTTGTCAAATCCTGAAATTAGATACTTGGAACCACTGGCTCTTGTTTTAATCCAGTTCCAGTTTAAACAAAGCCAGAGAACTTCGCTTGCACACTAGTCACCAAGAGGAGTGTTAGACTGGTGCTTCACTGTGTGTGTGGGGACGTTGGATTTGTTCCTCATGCCTCATCTCAAAGCTGCTGTGAAGTAGCATTTCTTATATTTCCCCAAACCTATCCTCCTTCCCCTGTAAGAACAAACTCTGACTAATGTGCTCAGATGCTGTGAAACACACTGGTACCATTAGAAACTGAAGATAAGTGATGACCCTAGTGCTGTTTACTATGGCCCTAGCTCTGTGTTTGTATCATGTGGCAGTATCTGGTGGTATCAGTGGGTGATGATGGTTCCACCTTCCAACAGAAAACCTCAAATAGATGTTCCTGGATCAAACTCATCCCAGGTGTCATTCCACTGAAGTCAGTGCGATTAGCTAAGAGGGGATGAACATGGTCCTCTAGTTACATTTCGTACTCCTGGTGGAATTATGCACCAAAAAATTAAAAATTCTGCCCATAATATTTGAAAATTCTACATATTGTATTTGTCAAAATAACATAATTATGCCAGTTACACTTATTTTTGTAATTTATTTCAAAATATCTGTCAGCAAGTATGTCTGTAACAATACACACACACACGGTAATTGTTTTTTGATAGATTCCTTTCTAGGCATATTCGTACAGAACTTTGTGGAATTCATTTAAATTACAATACAGAACTGTATTTCCTGCACCTGTCAGAAGCAGTGCAAAGGCTTTGGGGGCCGGGGTAACAGAAGAGCTGAAGGAGGAGCCTAGGAGTGAACCTGGAGGGTGTTGGGTGTGGGTGGGAGGTTTTTCTGGTGGTGGGGGGGAGGGATTGTTAGGGTATTGGGAAGCCTCCCGCATGCAGATCCTGGCTGACCCCAAGCCTCTCCCATTCAGTCACCGCCCCTCCCCTCCTTGTGGGTCTCTGCAGCCCCTGTCCCCAGGCTCAACACTGTCATCCCACTAGCTCCAGACTGGCACCCACACTAACCATTCTGAACCCGTCTGTGACTCCCCAGCAGCCCTGTGTGCTCCACTCTGTCCTAACCTGGCTCTGCGGGCAGGGTGCTGTGATGAACTCTACTCTTGGGGGAATTCTGGGCATAGAACTTTGTATTTTCCCGCATAAAATACATTTTGCCTAAGTAGTGCTGCAGTTCCTCCTCTTACCCACCAGAGGTCGCTGTGGTACTAGACCAGCCGGCATGAACGTCGCTGGCTGTTGTGGCGCCACAGCGGCCTCTGGTGGACAAAAGGCAGAACTGCATCACTTCTTAGGCAAAAGGGTTTTTATGCGGGAAAATACCAAATTATGTGAGACACATAAATTCTGCACGTCCGCAGATGCGCAGAATTCCCCCAGGAGTAATTTCGTGGAGATTTTCTCATGCAGTCCATTGCTTTTCCTCCCGCAGACGTTGACAGTGGTTACTACACAGTGAAGTTTGAGTCATTGCTGCTGAAGGAGGCTGTCGTGGAGGGAGATGGCATCATGCCACCACTGCGAAGCGAGGAAGACTCTTCCTCTCCCGAGTCTGAGGAAGACAACGTGGATGACTCTGGCTATGCTAAAGGTAGACAAGGCAGAGAGTGAACTGCCACTGTCAGTGATCAAAGTCTGCCCTTTAATTCAGGTCCTCTTGGACCATTGCCCAACTTAGTAGAACTTTGACAATGTTTTTTTCCTCTTGTTCTGCTGCCGGAGGAGATGAGAGGACATTAAGTATCATGCATATCGCTGTCTCCAGTTAAAATAGCTGTGATGTTTCATGCTAATGATTTTCACTAAGCTGGTGCAGATAAATAGCTTCAAGGAAAAAGAAACATATTTCACCCCCAGTGGGACTAGAGGGTGTACCGGAGTGAAATGGGGTTTGGGAGTAGGAACCCCTGCGTTCTTATTACAGTTTTGCTGTGTGACTCTGAGCGAGGTACTTATTGACTAAAATAAAGTTTTGAAGATTAAATGAAAAACCAGGAGACTTCAAATTTCCAAAGGAAGTTCCCAGGACATCTGTTCGTCTTCCATATTTACATGGCACCCATCACTGTAATACCTGAGCGCCTTGAAATCTTTAATGCGCCTCTCCTGTGAGGCAGGGCAGTGCTGTTATCGCCGCTGTGCAGGTTCCTCTGGGTGCCTCCGTTCCCTAGGTGACTTGCTGAAGGTCACACCGGCAGTCTGGCTCTCCCCAGTCCTGGTTAGTGCCCTAACGACATCATAGAAACAGGGAGTGTCCTGGGATCCTTAATTTTAGGCAAATAGAGGAAAAGGTTCCTCCGTGCCATTGAATCTGTTAGAAGTACGATGGAGGCACAGAATGATGCGCTTCAGCATGCTGAATTCTGTCCTGATGAAGCTGTGAAATCTATCCAGACCCCAGGAGCATGGAAAGGATCTACTAACACTGCTGGATGATTCTGCCTGACTTAGGGGTTTCTGTGTGTAGTAAATAGGGATCTCCCCATGAACCCCAGCATTTCAAACCCTGCTTACTCCTCATGCTCCTCCCCTGGTCTGATGGATTAGGGAGTGGCTGTTCAGTAGGAACTATTGGGGGGGCGGGTGGCAGAACTGATTGTACTGCAGAGGACTGAAGAAGAGGATGTGAAGTTGCTTGTGTGGCGGGAGAGGTTGCTGGTTTTTGCAACATTGCTCACAGCTTCACGCCTGCTGAGGTTTTCACTTGGTGCTTTGCTGCCCCAGCCTTACTGCTCAATCTCTGTTTTGTGCTGCAGTGATCGATTCAGGGCCCTTGGAGAATGGGGAAGGGGCTCCAGCTTGCAGTTCCTCCTTTGGTGGCTGGGAGGCCCATACTCGTGGCATCGGCTCCAAACTACTCGCTCAAATGGGATATGAGTTTGGAAAAGGTAAGGGCAGAAGAGTAAAATCCCTGCAGGACTAGGAGCCTGCTTCTTAATCCCAGCCTCACAAAGGGACCAGGGGCTTGTTCCCGCAGAGTGGGGGAATGGGGCGACAGTAAGTCTAATCAGCATTGCTTGGATCAGGCCCAGAATGGGGTATGCATTCAATACTAAATGCAGGATTGCACGTGTGGTGGTTCTGAAAAATGACCTTGTACAGTTAAGGGATAAAGTCTTAATACCGCTGTTTGGGGGGGATGCGTGTGTGTGTGTGTTGATGTTCATATTCCATGATACATCAGTGGAGGGGATTTTAAAGCAATGGCCAAATGATTAAAGCTGTTAGAGTAGGGCTTTAACTATTCAGCTGTCCTGTAGGCCATTAGGTAATGGGGAATCTGGCTCAGGGACTTCTGGCCCCAAACACAGACTTCAAAGCCTGTGGAGCCAGCTTCTAACTCGAGACAACTTGCACTGAAGTTCTGCTGAGCCCAGAGGGCTTGGAAAGCCAGCCTGCTGCCCATGCTTGCCTCCTGTTCTTGTGGAGTGACTGTACCTGTTTTTGAAAGGGAATGTCTTCTCTGCTCAAGGAGGTGACAGTGCAAATCTAAGCCTGGCTTCGCTGCAACACCTCAGCTGCATGACCCTGTTCTGTATCATTGAAGTTCTTGTGTGTGTAACAGTGTGAATCAGGTGTGTATGGGGGAAGGTGCATCTTCTGTCTTGTCACTCAGCAGCGAACCTTACCATCAAGTATATAGTCCAACACTGCTCCTGTTGACTTCAAGGGTAGCAGCACTGAGCCCCAACAGACTGTTTTCTGTTGCTCTGAGCCTGATAGCTGTGCAGAGGTGGAGTGGGAGGAATCATTGGTGTATGGAAAGACTCTACTGTTAGAATTTGGCTTCTATCCGGTGCCCTTCTTCCTCCCTCAGGTTTGGGGAAGAACGCTGAGGGCCGAGTGGAGCCAGTGCAAGCCATAGTGCTGCCTAAAGGGAAGTCCCTTGACCAATGTGCTGAGATTCTTCAGAAGAAGCAGCTGGATCCAGCTAAGTCAAGGAAACGGCGAGTGAAGGCAAACCATGCTGGCCGTCCTTCTGCAGGGAGCCGCAAGCCCCCCCGCAATGTCTTTGACTTTCTGAATGAGAAGCTTCAGGGGAAGGGCTCTGGGGAGCAGGATGGAGGAATGACACCAGTGGAGAGAAACAACAAGGAGATCTACCACGCCAGTAAGAGCACCAAGAAGGCCCTCAGTGTCCGCCTCTTCCAGACAATGGAGAAGATTGACCAAATGCAGAAGACCATCAGGGGAATCCAGGAGGCCCTGGCACGCAATGTTGGACGGTATGGGGAAGTCCCTGGTTGAGGTTCCAGAATGATTTTGGGTGGCCTGTTGTTTAGGCTGGGGGCGGATCTTGCAGGTGATGGGAGCTGAAGGTGAAAAGTTGGATTATGTTACATTAAAAAGTAACAGTTTTGAAGGGGACCCAGAATGGGGACTCGGGGATGGTCTAGACCATCCCTAGTCCTGCCATGAGTGCAGGGGACTGGACTAGATGACCTCTCGAGGTCCCTTCCAGTCCTGTGGATTCTATGAGGTGGCTGTCTGTAGGAGAAAAGCTAAGCTTAGACTAAGGTGTTTGTCACTGTTCCTACTCTAACCACTGGCATGGGAGGAGGCCTAGAATAAAGTGGTAGGCAAAAGCTTCCAAACTGTGACTTGGACCAGATTGTGTCTCTGAGTGCTGCCTTGAGAAGGCAAGGACACCTGGGCCAGAAGTCAAATCGAGGAAGGAGGAGAACCCTCCAGAGTCCTGCAGAATTTTCTCTTCATTTTTTTACACTGATCGGGGCCATCCTTGTAGCATTTCTGTGATGAGTACTATGGCAAGAACAATCACAGTTCTCTGGCTCTTGTTTTGCTTGATATCTGACGCTTCATGGCTCCCAGCGGGTCATTTACATCCACCCACTGCTGAGACTGGGATTCCTAGCAGTAAAATGGAGATGTTAATGAGGAGCCTTTGTTCTTAACATGCTAGATATCCTTACTGTGCCTGTCTTCTGCTTTCAGGCACAGTATTGCCACAGCCCAGCTGGAGGAGAAACTAGCTGGTGCCCACAGGCAGCTGGGGCAGCTGCGAGCCCAGGAGGCCAGCCTGCAGCAGGAGCAGAAGAAAGCCGAGACACACAAGAAAATGACTGAGTTCTAGTCTCCAAGGACAGGTGTTGATGTTATGTACTGGTTTTCATTATGTCTGAGCCAGCACTCAGTGCGTTGGAACCGGGATGAGCTGTGCCATCACCTCTGGGTCTTGGGCAACCCAGCTGTGAAACTGGGGTGAAAAGCAGCCGTTCTCCATAAAAACAGATGCTGTCTGAGCGGAGCATTCCTGGGGGCGGGGGGGAGCGAGTACTTGTTCACTCCTGAAGGTGTTCAGAAGACCCAAGCTGCTTACATTGACCTGCTATACAAAAAGGCCCCTGCACCTTGCTTTTGTTCCCTTTTCCCAGTTATCACCATGGTAGTTCTCTCCATCCAGAGAGTCTGTAGCCACCCAGGTGATACCATGGTTGTTCACAGATCAGCTGGTGGGAAGAGCCAGGGGAGCCTCTGGCCTGTCACACTGCCTTGGAGACTCAGTGCGTTGTGTGTCTGCGTGTTTATCCGCTAGGCTGGGAACTGAGTCCCAAACACATTCCAGCACTGCAGAAAAGACGATCTGGTTTTGGTGAAAACCAGGGCAGGTCACTTCAGCTATCAGCGTCCCTCTGTCCTTGGCTCTGGGCATCACTCAGGGACACAGGAGTCAATGCTGGGTTTGTCACTACTAGTTCTGATGTTGCTGTGATATTTAGAGTAGCTCTTTAAAGCGCCAGCACACTGAACAGAAAGAGAAGAGATCTCCAGGCCTTGCACTATTGCCAGCTGACTGCAAAAGTATGACTGGGTCCCAACCTTGTACAAAAGGTTTAGGCTTCCCTGTTAAGTCAGCCTGCATGCTAATGGTGACGATATGGTATGCTGCCCCATTCCATATCACAGCACTGAGGGCCAGAGTTAGGGGAATGTGGTAACCACATAAACAGCTAAGTACATAACAGGTCAGCTACAGACCTGCTGGCCAGGAACAATACTACAGTCAGCCTTTTGCTTTCACTCTGGCTGCTTTGAGACTTTCTGTTCTAGATATCTATGTGAACAAGTAGGTTCTCCTTGTTATGAAACACCGCAGAACCGTACAAAACGACCCGAGGTCCAGGTGTACCCACCACACACAGATATCCCTGTGAAAGAGCTCATGCAATCCTGGAGGCAGGAAAGCTGAGCAGACTCTCCTGCCCTGCAGTGGGTACAGACAATCTCAGGCAGTTGAAAATCCCCCAGACAGGTTCTGTCCGTGGTGGCCATTTCTTGCTGTAGAGGAGGTGTTGATTCTGTCAGGCACTCTGTGTTAGGCAGTGGCCTATACATTTGAGTATTGTTCTGTGCATCTTTATTTTCTGATTCTGTAATTTTTGCAGGTGTCTTGAGAAAACTACTTTTTTTTTTTAAGTTAAAATATATCTGACCCCTTTTATCTTAGAAGAGACTTGTTTTGCCTTTTTATCTCCACCTCTCAGATGCCTTTGAAGGATTACAGAGCTGTCAACCTCAAGGGTAACAGTCACAAGAGCGGGAGACAGTGCTTCCTTGGCTACAGGTCAGGGCAATTGAATTCACTGCCAGGGTGATTAAAATGACCACAGCTTTCACAGCCTCAGACCGAGGTGTGGAAGTTCTCCCCTGTGATTTTAAGAGTAGCAAAGGAGACAGAAAAGGAAGTGAAGGCAAGAATGAGAGAGAAAAAATACATTTAAAAAAAACCCGCTAAATTCTTGGCTACTTCAGGGATACGGGAAGAAAATTAGATCTTTCGTGATTGTCCTTTCCTGAGAAGCACTCGATCCTACAGCAATGGGCACTATCATAAGACCCTAAACAGGAGCTGAAGTTTCATCTCTTCTGTTTACAGTGTAAATGAAGGTGATGTGGATTTTGTCTTGAACACATCAGTATCCTTCCAAGCCTGCAACTAATCAGCACCAACACCACAAGGATTATCATTCTGTGACTAAGTATGGGTCTTCTCTCTGCATTGGGTTAATTCAAAGCTGGTTTGGGGTGGGAAATGGGAGACAGGTGGTGAAGAAGCTTAATGCACTTAGCTCCCACGTTACAGTTAGTGGTCTCATACGAGTGCTCTTTGTGACAATTTGTAATAAGATTCACAGCTCCACATGGCTATCTGTCTCTGAGAGATCCGGTACTGGAAAAGCATGTCAGGGTGGAGGGGTCTTGCACAGGAGCTTCTTATCTTTTGCCAGTATTCATGGGCATGCCATCTTTTATTTATTTATTTTGCAAGAGTGGGCATGTTAGTTCCATTGTCCAATAAGCATAACTGCATTTTGAGTCCCTTGAATTTTCTCAGTGGTTTCAGTTGCCTCCTCACGTACCGTCCCAAACAGTTTCACCTTGAGACAGTTGCATGTCAGTGGTGGATAAAGCAATCTCTCTGTTTGTAAAGCATTTTGTGATCCTTCACAATGAACAGTACTATATCAAAAGGTAACTTATTCTTTCACTATATTAATTTACAAAACAAATCAAGCAAACTCCTACTTGTTGTATGCTCCTGTGCCACTGCGCAACGCAGAATTTTGCAGAAATTAACGTGCGTGCAGAATTTCCCCCCCGCCCCCTGAAATGGGCTGCAGTGCTGCTGGCCGCCACTAGGGGATGCTGAACCTGGCAGAGCCTAGCTGACACATAGAAGACACTGCCAGGGGGTAGGGGAGGAGGAGGGGAAGAGTAGAGAGTTCCTAGCAGCTGCAGTTCCCAGCACGCACTGAGGGAAGGAGAGGGCAGCATGGAGGAAACTCCACACAAGCCTGGGACCCAGCATAAGGCTGTTTCTCCCTCAGGATCCATGGGCTCTGATGGGAGGGGGCGGGTGTCTGGGCTCTGGGGGGCAGGGGACGGATGTCTGGGCTGAGGTGGGCCCACAGCTGGGCTCTGAGGGGTAGCGGGTGGGTGTCAAGGTGGGTGGGGTCCCATGGCTGGGCTCTAGGGGGGGAGGGGAGAAGGGGAAGGGATATCTGGGCAAGGGGGGACCTCATAGCTGGGCTCAGGGAGGGTACGGGGTTCAGGTGTATTGGCTGGCGGGGGCCTGCAACTGGGCTCTGGGAGAGAGGGATTGTGGGTGTCAGACATACTTACTGACAGGTATTCTGAAATAAAATTACCAAAATAATTGAAACTGGCATGATTGTGTAGTGTTGTTTTGACAAATAAAATGTGCAGAATTGTAAAATATTGTGCGCAGAATTTTTAAATTTTTGGTGCAGAATTCCCCCAGGAATAATGTTATAGAAATGAGGTCAAGTACTGGTGAATAGCCAGCAGAGGGCGCTGTTGCACATTGTGCTACTGATCCCATCCACCTGCCTGTTTTCTGCAAAAGCAGAGTAGAGAGAAAGTAAGTCAGTTGGGTGATGTGATAACTTTTGCAGGCCAGGAAATGAGCTGTGGTATTAGACTAACTGGTGTCTCAGCTCAAAGGCATCTCTATCTCCGGCTGAAAATCAGGGTTGAACAAAGGAGCAGCCTGAGAAAGGCACAGTCAAGATGTTTGAAAAACTCCAGAATATGTAGTTCAGAACCGTCGCATTCTTCAGTGCAAGGGGAGCAGGAATAGAAGGTAAGGAAGAGGATATGGATGGATTTCTGCTCTTCATGCTATCTGGCTGCTTCTGAGTCTCTGTAAAGTAAGTGCTGTTCGTTTCTTACCAAGCAAACTCAGGTGTTCCCTTGTCAACTACTGGAAAAACATTGCTACATCTCCTGTATCAACCAGTTTTGTTCATAACCCTTTTAATATTGTACATCCAATGTTAGGCTGGCATTGCTGGAATGGCAAGATTCTTGCTCCCCAATTATCTCTGTGTTGGTCAGGTTACTTAACACACGTCCGTGTGTTAGTCACTGGCCAATGAGGGCTATCAGCTTTGTGCGAATTAAGATTTGTACCCATCGGAGCATCTAGGCTTAAATGCACAGAACGGTCCTCTGAGCTTGATCGTGTTTGGCATCTCATGAGTGGAACTTCACAGCCCTGCAATTGACACCATGTTAAGTACAGTGGGGGCTGTTTAATTTCCTAGTGCCTGATTTTCAGAAATGCTGAGTTTGGAATCCGTTGAAACTGGAGGCTCAGCACCTTGGGTGGAGGGGTGGGAGAGAAGAAAAGTCAGACCCCTGATTGTTTGGGGTGAGCCACCTTCTTGTAGAAATCCCCAGGATCACTGACCACACCACTGCAGTTGAGGTTGTTAGGGGTGGAGAGACTGATCACAGAAATAACCGCATATATCTGGGC